AACAGAAAATTTCAAAGGGAAGCTTGAAAGACAAAGTCAAGTATTACAACGAAATATGCAAAGACCTGGAGTCAGAAAACCAAAAGGGAAAAGAGCAAGCTTAGCATTTCTCACGTTGAAAGAACTGAAGAAGAAAAAAAAATTCAAGCTTTGCCTTGCAATACTGAAGGATTCCTGGTGTGGCACTGAAGGATAATGAACTGGATCGCAAGGTCGGTTTGAACCGCAAGTTTGGAGGTTCAAATCCACCAGCCACTTCTCGGAAACCCTAAAAACAGGTTGCTGTGAGTTGGAACTGACTCAGTCGCACTTAATAACAACATGGGCAAAATACTGAATGATACAGAAAACATTAAAAGAAGTTGGAAGGAATACACAATCAATGTATCAAAAAGAAATGGTTGATGTTCAACCATTTCAAGAAGTATCATATGATGAAGAGTGAATGGCACTGAAGGATGACATCTAAAGTACACTGAAGGCATTGGGAAAGAATGAGGTTCTAGGAATTGATGGAAAACAAATGGAATCTTCCAACAAATTGATGGAAGCACTCACTCATCTCTGCCAAGAACTTTGGAAAATAACTATCTTGCCAGCTGGTTGAAAGAGGTCCATATCTGTGCCCACTGCAAAGAGGTGAGCCAACGGAATGCAGAAATCATCAGAAAATATCATTACCATCACAGGCCAGTAAAATTTTGCTAAAGATAATTTTAAAATGTCTGCAACAGTACACTGACAGGGCACTGCCAGAGGTTCAATCTGGATTCAATGAGGACATGGAAGAAGACATTTAATTGCTGACTTCAGACAGATCTTGACTGAAAGCAGAGAATACCATAAAGATGTTTACCTTTGATTTATTAACTACACAAAGGTTTTTAACTGTGTGTTATCATTACCAACTGTAGATAACATACCCATGCGAAGAATGGGTATTCCAGAACACTTAATTGCGTTACTGAGTGTCCTGTACATAGACCAAGAGGCAGTCATTTGAAAAGAACAAGGGGAGACTGAATAGTTTAAATCAGGAAAGGTGTGTGCCATGGTTGTATTCTTTCACCACATTTGCTCAATTTGTACATGGAGCAAGTAATCAGAGAAGCTGGATTATATGAAGAACATGGCACCAGGACTGAAGGAAGACTTATTAAAAACCTGGAATATGCAGATGATACAACTTTACTTGCTGAAAGTGAAGAGGACTTAAAATACTTAACTGATGAAGATCAAAGACCACAGCCTTCAGTATCCATTGGGCCTCAATGTAAAGAAAACAAAAATCCTCACCACTGGATCAACAAATAACATCATGATAAATTGAGATAAGATTGAAGATGATTTCACTAGTAGAATTTCTTGAACTACTAAAACTCATGATATAAGCCATCCATCTCTTTCAAAACACCCATCTGTTTCTAACTGATATACTCTGCAACTGTCTAAGATGTCTGTGGCTTTGATCCACTATCAATATTCCTGGAAAAAGCAGTAAAGAAATCAAACAATATATTGCACTACGCAAATCTGCACAAGCCTTCCTTAAAGTGCTTAAGAGCAAAGATATCAGCTTGAGGACTAAGGTGCACCCGGCCCAAGCCATGGTATTTTCAATAACCTCATAAACATGTGAACATTGGACAATGAAAAAGGTAGATCATAGAAGAATTGATACATCTGAGTTATGGTGTTGGAGAAGAGTACTAAAAATATTAGGGACTGCCAAAAGAACAAATCTGTGTTGAAACAAGAAGAGCCAGAATGTTCTTTAGAAGCCAGGATTCCTGGTGAGACTTAACCTCTCATACTTTGGACATGTTATCAAGAGGCACCAGTACCTGGAGAAGGGCATCATGCTTGGTAAAGTGGAAAGTCAGTGAAAAAGAGAAAGACCCTCAACAAGATGGATTGGCACAGTAGCAGTAGCAATGAGCTCAAGAATAACAATGATTGTATGGAAGGCCCAGGACCGGGCAGTGTTTTGTTCTGTCGTGCATATGGCTGCTTTGAGTCAGAACTGACTCAATGGCACCTGACAATAAATAGTGACGAGAAAGAATAGATACATAAACTTTTGTGCTTAAGTGAACAAAGAAGTGCACAAAATCTCTAGATCCAGTTCCAATTCCAATGAGGCATCATTCTTGCTCCAAAAAACAAAACAAAACAAAAATTCATTGCTATCTAGTTGAATTCCAACCGCAAAGTCAGCTTGAGCTGCAAGGTCGGTGGTTCTAGCCCACCAGCCACTCTTTGGAAACCCTATACAGGGTTTCTGTGGGTCGGAACCAACTTGATGGCACTTAACAGCAACAACAACAAACCTAGAGGACAATGTAGAACTCCCCCATGAGGCTTCTAAAGCTGTAAATCTTTATGAAAACAGCTTTCAACATCTTTCCCCTATGGAGTAGCTGGTAGATTCACACAGGTGACCTTTTAGTTAGCAGGTGAGCACTTAACAGTGCACCAGCAGGGCTCCTATTCCTCCTTAAATTCATTAAGTTTCTACTTCTCTTACTACTCCATAAGAATCCCTATAATCAGCCCTACTACCCACACCTAGTTAAGTCTGAAGACTTACCTTTGGAGATCACCGGCAGAATTACTTGAACAATTAAAACTCATACTATAGGTGGTCCAACTCTTCCAAAACTCCCGTCTGTTTTTAACAATATACTTCACTATTTTCCAAGATGGCTGTGGCTTGCAGGATAGATGGGCTGAAGTCTGTTAAAATAGGAAACAATACTTGTTGTTATTAAGCGATCCTACATAAGGTTTCCAAGGAGCCGCTGGTGAGTTTGAAACCATCAGCATTGTGGTTCAAACTGACATTGTAGTCTAGTGCTTTATCTTACAGCACCACACCAGGACTCAGTAAGCAATTTAGTTTACAATAAGACAAGGAACAAAGGAAAAATCACTCATAATCTAAAGACTCAAATTTATAATCATTATTACTGTAGACAACATAGTAGTGATTATGTTGTCTCAAATTTATTTCAGGACTCAAATTTATAATCACTACTACTATAAACATTTTGTATTCCACTAACAACCCTGGGTTTATTTGTTACAATACGAAAATAATTTCCTTACATAGCTTAGTAAATCTGACACTCAATAAGAAAAAGCACGGCCTTGTTCATTCTAGGACCGCCCATTTGTTTGAGGCACATACATCTGCAGATTACTGAGTTTGAGACAAACAAAAGGGTAACGAAAGGAAAAGAAAAGGGCATCAGGTCTCAGTATGTTCTATCACCATTAGCCTCAAGTACATGAACTCCTGGTGTGGTGCTGTAAAATAAGCACTAGACTGCCAACCACAAGGTCAGCGGTTCAGACCCACCAGGTGCTCCTTGGAAACCCTATGCAGGGTTGGTATCAGTCAGAACTGACTTGAGGGCACTTAACAACAACTACTATAGTAGCAACTATAAATTTGAGTCCTGGGATTATGAGTGATTTTTCTTTTGTTCCTTGGTTTATTAACAATTTTTACATTACCGTACAATATGTAATACTTGTATTTTAAAACGTACTTATTTTTTAAAAGGATTAGAAACAAAAATGACAAAAAATGTTAAAAAGATGTTCCTTTTTAAAACAAAGTAATGATTATATTACCTTTTCTAAAGAAAAATCACAAAAATCAAATGTTGTTGATGGTTTCCACTGAGTTGCTTCAGACTCCTGACAACTTATCTGTACAAAATAAAGCTGCTCCACAGGGTTTTCAAGGCAGGGACCTTTCAAAAGGTGCACTTCTAGGTGAGTCTGCACCACCCACTTTCAGCTAGTAGTTAAAAGCTTAACTGTTTACATCACTTAAGGGAGTTCTTCAAATATAAGATAAAAAAGCCACTGACTCATGTTGTTGTTAAGTGCCTTCGAGTCGGAGCCGACCCATAGCGACCCTGTACAGGGTTTCCGAGGGTGTAAATCCTTACGGGAGTAGAAAGCCTCATCTTTCTCCCGCGGAGCGGCTGGTAGTTTCGAACCACTGACCTTAAGGTTCGCAGCCCGATTCGTAACCACTACGCTATCAGAACCCTAAAAACAGAGTAGAACTACTCCTTAGGATCTGAGACTGTACATCTTTACAGGAGCAGACAGACTAATCTTTCTCTCAAGGAGCAGCTGGTGGATTCGAACTGCCGATCTTGCAGTTAGCAGACCAATACTTAATTCAACTTGGAAAAGCTGTATCTACGGCATACTTCAATTTCTAGCGTGTAGCATTTCGTGTATGAAATGTGAAGTCCAGGGACATTAGGTTCTCAAATCTTTTATGAGCTATTTCTAATATAATATTGTAATCAAGGACGGCAACTTTTCAAACTTTCTATCTCCCAGAGACAGAAGAGAAAGAAATCGGGGAAAGAGAACATTTGGCGTTTCCACTGGCAATGACCTAGACATTCTGAGAAAAAGTACCAGCCAGAAAGCCAGTTTCACTTTACAGTTCAGAGCCAATGATGGTACTGGTTTTCAATCACCTGCCCAGCTAACCTAATCCAGTCATTTTGTACTCACACCTGGGTCCTTCAGTGGGTTATCAGAATGTACCCATCGCTCGGTGTATCTACCCGCCGTCAGGGGAAAAGGGAGGCCAGCGGGATGAAAAGATAGAAACGACTACTATTGAGTGCTTACTATGCACCAGATACTAGACAAACATAATCTCATTTAATCCTCCTAATAAGCGAGATTATTATACCTGTTTCACAGATGAGAAAACTGAGGCTTGGAGAGGCTGAGTAACTTATGTAAAGGTATTTTGTATGAGTTATTAGAATTTAAGGTCTATTCTCTTCACAGCACAGTGTTGCCCTCAATACAATAGACCTTGGAGAGATGACAGGCTCCATTCTAGTTCACCTCAATAAAGCTAATATAGTAATATATTGAGTCACATAAAAAGTTTGGTTTCCCAGTTGTTTACACTATACTAAAGTCTATTTTTCTGCTCCCGTAAAGATTTACAGCCTCAGAAACCCTGTACAAGGTCACTATGAGTCAGAACCAAATCCAAGGTACATAACAACAACATCAACAACAAAGTCTATTAGGAATCCTTATGTGGTGCTGGGGGATAATGCAGTGGACCACAAGGATGGTTTGAATCACAAGGTCAGCTCTTCAACTTACCAGCCACTCCTTGGAAACCCTGTACGTGAGGTAGCTATGAGTCTGAATAGAATGGAAGACACTTAACAACAACAACACAGACTATTAGGAGTCCTGGTGTGGCACTGCAGGATAACACACTGGACCACAAAATTGTTCTGAAATGCAAGGTTGGCAGTTCAAACCACAAACAGCTCCTCAGAAACCCTATACAGGATCCCTATGAGTTGAAACTGAATCTATGGCACTTAACAACAAACATAGTCTATAAGTGTATAACTGCATTATGAAAAATTTTTAAATATTTTGAGAATTACCAAAATAAGACACAAAGACATGAATGAAGTAAGCATGTGCTGTTGGAAAAAACAGGATGTGCTAGGCACAGGGTGGCCAAAAACCTTCAATTTGTAAAACAAGTTTGAATGTTCCCATTGGAACATTTTGACCTAGATTACATTGTTGTTGTTGTTAGGTGCCATCGAGTCAGTACCAACTCATAGCAACCTTATGCATAGTAGAACGAAACAGTGCCCAATCCTGGGCCAAGCTCCTACTGTTGCCACCTGGAGCCCATTGAGGTTAGAAATATTTTATAAAGCTTGGAGGCCCTAATGTCCCTAGACTTCACATTTCATAAATGGAATGTTATGCCTTAGAAATTGATACTACCCACTGTTTTTCCAAGTTAGTTTAGTACTGCGCTACTAACTACAAGGTCAGCGGTTCAAATCCCTGCTGCTCCTTGGGAGAAAGACGAGGTTATCTGCTCCCATAAAGCTTTACAGTCTCAGAAAACTAAAGGAGCAGCTCTACTCTATCTTTAGGAATGCTAGTAGGCAGTGGGTTAATTCTATATTTGAAGGAATCCCTTGGGTGATGTAAACAAGTAAGTTCTTGACTACTAGCTGAAAGGTTGGTGGCTCAGTCAGACTCACCCAGCAGGTACCTCAGAAGACAGGTGTGGGGGGATCTACTACCACCTGGAAAACCGTGTTGCTGTTATTGTTGTTAAGTGCTGTCCAGTTGGTTCTGACCTATAGTGACCCTTTAGAGTTTCTGAGGAGTGACTGGTGAGTTTGAACTGCCGCCCTTGTTGTGAGCATTCCAGTGCCTATCCTACAGCATCACACCAGGAATCCTGAAAATCCTGTAGGGTACTACCTTCCATTCTAGGTTGCCATGAGTCATGATGGATTCCACAGCAATGAGTAACATTTTATTTTTATGATTTTTCTTTTGAGAAATTTATATAATCATTACCTTGTTCTTCAAAAGCAACAAGGTATGCCTGTAGTTAGAGGTATGTACCGCAGTCAACGGAGGGGGCAGGGTAGCAGTTGGCGTTTTCAGAAGTCCTGGTGGTGCAGTAGTTAAAGCGCTCGACCACCAATCAAAAGGTATGGGATAAGAACCTATCAGTCCCTCCGAAGAATTAATCAGAAGACATTTACAGATTTGGAAAGCTTTGGGGAATCATAAAATTTCTTTTCATAATTAAATAGTACTTTAGAGAACAAGTCCATCCTCTTTATCTGACAGAAAAGGACATTAAAGCCTGAAACCTTTGATGTTTGAAGCTCCTGACTGATTGATTATTCCTTCATCTCTGGTCTTCACAGGTGGCACTGCCTCTGCTTCCGCTGAATTTCAGGGAAACCGCGTCCACTTCCTGCTCTACCATAGCTTTGTGGTTACTAGGCACCAACTGTTCAATACATCAAGTGAAAAAACGGTGAGATCTTTTCTCCAACGTTAGGAGACCATCTATAAAACACCCATGTGGCAGGTATTTGAAAGAGTTAGCCACCTATTGAGTTTTCCAAATGAACTTAAGTAGTAAAACGTGAGATCCTCTTAAACCCAATAAACATAGATGTGTCTATGATAAATATAATAGAATAAAGAACAATCAAAATGAGGCTGTCCACTTCTGTCCACTTTATAGCCTCGGAAAAACCATACAGCCGACTTCCCTAAGTCTCTCAGAGTCCTGCAGGGGAAAGTGGCAGAAGCTACAGAAGACAGATAATGAAACCCCCAAAAAAAAAGAAAAGAAAGAGGCTGAACACGACGTGATTTTACCCTCGAGGAGCTCACTGATTCTGGGGAGGGAAGGAGCCCCGCGGCCCGGGGCTGTCCACTAGGAGAGCCCAAGCTCAAGCCTCGAGTCGCGTCCTCTGGTTCCTATAGTCCTCAGGATGCTCGCGGGGATCCCCCTTCAGGTGGGCGGAGAGACCCAACCCAGGGAACTGGAGGCGTGTCCCAACGGGACATCCCGGAGCTAACTAGGGTACCCATAACTCTCATCACCCGTTCTCAGCATCTCCCTGACGAAGCCGTTCGCATCAAAGCCCACACAGCCCGCGGTTACCTCAGCGGTCTCCCGTGCTCCAGACCACACAGCACAGGCGCGCGGGGTACAGGTTCGAGTCCCCGGGGTGGGAAGCGGGCAACCCACGGGGGGAGGGGGGAGCAAAAACTGTTGTAAC